TTTCCCATTCACAAGAGTCCCAGCAGCAGTTCTGAGATTGCTTTAGACTGTTGGTTTTTTTAATATATATATATATAAAAAAAATAAAATAGAGTTTATCAGGACCAGACGATTTGAAAACCTCTGAGCACTATCTGATCTGTTTTGCCCTTAAGGTAGCCTGAGACCTCTTCCCTTTTGCACTACAATTAAGTGAGTTGATTCTACTCATAACTAGCTGCTTTTTGAATGATAATTATGAATGTACTTAATGATGTCATTTTTTATTACCCAGAAGTTTCTTCCTACTTGCATCTCATTTTGTCTTACCTGTTTAAGCAAACAAGAAGCAGTCATCAGTATGCCCATTTTCTGTTTTCTGTGTGCTTTTGTCTTCTTTTGTGATCAATGAAGAACATACGATTTATCAACTTTGGTAACTTGCTATCCTTCCTATCGTGCTTCATCTCTGGAATAGTTTGAGCTTGTTTCTGTAGTACATTTTCTCTGTGGAACAGACCATTCAAAGGAGTTCCAGTTTCCCTTAGACTTGCCTTATACAAGCTCTTACCTGCCAGTTTCCTGAGCATATTGACAACTGACCTTAGTTCCACTGATTTTATTTTGCTATGCTTCCTCCTTCCCTTTATAGGGATTATGAACTGTGTACATCAAATCTTGATAGGAACTTCTTAATAAAAAATACGAAGGTAGATAGCAATTTGGAGGAGATAATAATGAAAGGACAGATTACTCTGTTATATACCTTTTCTACCATTACTATCAAGCTCTCTGGTTTTCTGATATTTACTTACCAAATCTCATCTATCTAATCTTCCTGGTTGATAAACTGTAGTTTTGATACATGATAGTACTCATCTTTTCTCTGTATTTAATACTAGTCTCTATTCTTTTACTGGGGGAAAAACATTTATAAACATATTTTAAAAAAGAAGTTGTTCTAGTTAAATATTGCTGTCTAGGTAAAAAGAAAACAAATAGAGAACTAATCGGAAAATCCCTGTGGTGTTACAACAAGTGCCCTATTTAAAATGAAGCAAAAAGAAAAAAATCAAGTGGGAGAGGTTTATCCACAGGAGAAAAACACTTTAGAAAGGGTAATAGAATTGTTTTTCTCATGTCCCAGATTAATTACACTCAGAAGTGCTTGAAATAAAAAAATAGTTTTTCAGCACACTCCAAGCGTATTATCAGGCAAGTAAGCCTTAGTCTGCACTGCAAATTAAGTGCTCCCTTCCAGCCCTATAAAACTGTACTTTAAAAGTAGCCATGATGAAGGCTGTGTGCTGACTTCAGTAAAGTATACTTGCTGAATCATAATCTTGATAACAAACTTCACTGGAAGACATTATTCATGCAGGAAAATGTTTGAGGTTCCAATCACCTCATAGCAGTAACGGTTGCTTGGGTTCTGCCAGAGAGGAAGCAGGTAAGGTGCATACAGGTTAGTGTTGTATAGGGCGAGATCCTTTGCTTCCATGCTGTTTTGGGTCTATCTACACTACAAACATTAAAGTGCTAGTTAGGAGCTGCCAGTTCTGGAATATGTGGTATTAAATTCACTAGGTTTTGTGTTTATGCCATAAAAGCTGTAGGTGTGAGTTAAGGTTTTATATTGCGCTGACATAAGCAGATGGAAGTCTATTGAAAACCTTTTACAAAGATGCAATCTTTTAAATATCTTTTTAAGTTAAATCACTGAATAATGGTAATAAAACTATATAATGATGCTAAAAGTAAACCTTTTTCTTGCAATACTTAATATTATTTTTATTATTCTTAAGATCTTATTGTTGTAATTGAGTTGGCTTAATTTTGGTGAAAATAACTGAAGGATGAAAGCATTTTGTCAAATTTTGCTTTGATATCTCACTGAAGTCTTCAAGAGGGCAGCCAATGCAGCAAATAGGATGCTGAAAGAACATAGAAGAAGGGTGTACAGACTGGGTGGAATTTTCGTAGGTAACTGTTTTGGGTCAGCTCCATAGTTCCTCTATGTTGCCTGTACTATGTAATGAAGTGAATGATAGTGGCATTGCGTAGTGTAAATGAGAGCTTAAATTACATTACAGTTGCATCTGTCCTTGTTTCAACATGACACCTGCCATGGACTTTATGGAAATTAAAGGATACAGCAAAGAAGAATTAAATATCTATCTCCAGTTAAAAAAAAAAAAAGAAAGCACCTCTAAGCTGCACCTGAATTGCTTTTCTTTGTAGCTTATTACATCTCTGTGAACACAAATGAAATACATATGTTTCATAGTGCTGTTTATCATGACAAAACTCCTGGGATTTAAACTAGGATAAAACTGACCAATAGTAAAATCAGTGCTGCTTTACTGGTACAATAGCAATAGCCTGAAAATGGAGTCACTGTTTAATTTAATTTCTTTCTTTTTGTACATTTTTGTTGTGTCCTCAACAAACTGCTGGGGCTGAGAGTGAGTAGAAAAGTGTGGTTTATTATTCCCTTTTCTCAGTATCAAGCCACTTACATGCCAGCTGGTATAAAGTTAATCTTTGTTATATGCTTATTGCAATTTTCTTGGAACACAAGGACATGAAGATTCATACATCTAGATCCCTTAAAGCATAATGCTTCATAATGGCCACAACTAAAATGAGTGCCTGAAAGATTTATCTGAAAGATTCTCTATTATGATAAAGCATATATATTTTCTATCTCCCTAATGTCTCCTGTGGACAGTGTTGTTATACAAATTGGGAGGAAAAATTATAATAGTTTATTTTGATCTATCTCATTTCCCTATTAGGTTTGTAAGCAGTTCTTTAGAATTGCCTATCCCTTTCTATAAAGTTGATGGTTGATGTTATTCGCTAATTATGACACAACAGTGCTCAAAGATCCCAATCATGGCCTGGATCCTATTGTACTGAAAGCTGTACACAAGCATGATAATCAGTCATTAAAACCTAGTATTTTAAACCAGGAAGTCCCAATGTGCTTTATAAAAGAGGTAAATACCATTATTCCCATTTTGCAGATCTATCAATATTTCCTAGCTTTCTGATTTTATGTATTTAATATTATTTTAAGGTAGTTTATAATTCATAATGAAATAATTTTTTAAAAAGCAAATAAAAAAAATTTCCAGTACACGGCATTAGGTTGTCTTCCATATAGCTCATGAGTAAGGTTCAAACATTTCTATGTAATGTAAGAATTTCTAACCATTAGACTAATGGAGTAACTGCTAACAGATTGTCACCCACAAAAGCATGGGACATTTTTTTTATTTGGCTTCATAGCTATTTGCTGACTAAAGATGAGACTCTGGGATCTTGAGGTCCACTCCAAATTGTGAGGGAGATGTGCCCTGTTGCATACAACGCTGTTTGCTTCCTTTTCCCAGTCTGCTCCCGTTTCCCCTTTTCCCATTTTTATCTTGCCCCAGTCTTTCTGTTCCTTGTGATTGTCTCCTGAGACTGCTTCCAGAACATATCCTAGTCTTATCTGCCTCATTCTCTGCCAGGCTCCCAGCCTATCTGCCAGGCTCTTTGTCTGGCCTGTCCCAATGTTCTTTCCTAACCCTGCTGCCCCCAGGTCTTTTTCCTTGTCCAATCTGCCTGCTGGCTTTCCTGTTTGCTCAAAGACCCACTATGCCCCTCCAACTACCTCCTTTTTCTTGAGATTGATAATATATTCACACCTGTGTGTTGGCACTTATTTACCCTATTCATTCAAATTTAGTCGCTTCCTCCTTGTGTTGCCTCAATCCAGCGTGAAAGTTACTGGAGATCCCGTAAAGTTGCAGAGTTGCAATTGCAGAGGAAGTTCTGAGCATCATATATTAGAGCACACCCGATCCCTAGGTGGTTTAGCTGCTAAAACTAAGAAACCTTTATGTAGATTTCCAAAAGTCTGTTGACAAGAGTAAGGTTTGATAGACTAGTGTTAAATTTTCCTTTTGCTTCATAAAACATTTGAGTTTATTTAAGTTGAATCTTTCATGTGTCTCTAGGTTTGTCATTGTCTCATTTTTCTAGCGTCAGCCAGGTGAGGGAAAACAATATAATCTTCTGCTAGTGGTGGTTCGCTATCGTCAAGTGAGAGATTTCAATGATGTTACTTGCCTTGAAGTTGCATGTGCTGTAATGATTTAAACCCACTGAATATCTAGCGCTCTGTTTCTTTAGGAGTTGAGTATAACCCACATTGCAAATGGAATAGTATGTGCATTCTCAGTCAGAAAGAAACTGAAGATACTTAGCATATTGGAGAGAGAAAAAAATGTTAGATGATAACACAGAGTTTTTGTATTTATAATACTGAAGTGTAAGGTGGCAATATATTATTTTCCCTGTGCAATGCTCTATATGTGCGATAATAAACGTAACAGTAAGACACATGATATCACTATCCCAAAGTGATATGTGTCACTGCTTGAATTCCTGGCACTTAGAACCAGCAGGTTCCGTTTTTTCAGGCAAGCACAGGTTAATTGGGTAAGTAAGGGAACTTTAATACCCACATTAGCATAGCCAGTGTGGCACATGTTTCCACATCACATTATCAGGCTGTGTCATTCCCTGCTGTCCTCGAGGAACCCTGAAACTTCAGAAGTCTGTGATACTTTTCCCTGATTTGTGATATTTCCTTTTCTTTCTGGTACCTTGCCTGTCTATGCATTTTATATATTTAAAGACTGTTCTGTCAAGAAATACTATGTTTACACTATACTCATTAAAATTGAGCAAACTTCTTGTGATTCCTTTATTAACTAGTATACTGATTTTTGCATAGCAGAAGTCACAAGACATCAATTGGATTTAATTAACGTTATTTAAAATTACTAAAGTAATGACAGTAGACAATACTGTAGCATGTTCTTAAGTAGTAAAAGCAGTGCTTGTACTGTTACATTATTAAATCTTAATGAAACTATTCATAGCAGAAATTATATTTATTATTTATTATTGTGTCTTTGCAAATCCAGGATTTCTCTTTGTTAAAAGAAGATTCTGTCTCTTCCTAGATGTGTAGTCAGAAGATAGGGAAAGGTCATACAGTTAGCAACCTTTGCGGTTTGCCTGCCTCTCACCACATGGGTTCTCCCTTACCCCTGTTAGAAGAAGATAGAAGGAAAGGTGAGTCACAGAAGCCTACCTGGATAATACACAGATGTATGCTACATAAGCGGTGTTGTTTGCTTTTTGCAGCAGGTATCTGGTAATCAAATTTTCTGGCACCTCAAAACTTGTAAGAATTGTGATCTCAAATCTTGCAAAGGGTAGCGATCAACTTCAGACTACTTACTCCATGTGGGAGCTAATGTAGGACATAGCATATGTTATGTTGAGCATCATCCTCCCTAAGTTGGTTATCTTGTTGTCCTGGTTTCGACTGGGATAGAGTAAATTTTCTTCCTAGTAGCTGGTACAGTGCTGTGTTTTGGATTTAGGATGAGAATAATGTTGATAACACACCAATGTTTTAGTTGTTGCTAAGTAGTGCTTACACTAGTCAAGGGCTTTTCAGCTTCCCATGCTCTACGGACTGAGAAGGCTGGAGGTGCACAAGAAGCTGGGAGGGGGCACAGCCGCCAAAGGGACATTCCATACCATGTGACGTCATGCTCAGTATATAAAGCTGGGGGAAAGCTGGCCGGGGGAGGGGTGACCGCTGCTCGGGGACTGGCTGGGCATCAGTCAGCAGGTGATGAGCAATTGCACTATGCATCACTTGCTTTGTGTAGTAGTAGTAGTAGTAGTATTATTATTATTATTATTATTTTATTTCAATTATTAAACTGGTCTTATCTCAACCCATGAGTTTTCTCACTTTTACTCTTCCGATTCTCTCCCCCATCCCACTGGCAGGGGGAGAGGGAGCGAGCAGCTGTGTGGTGCTCGGTTGCTGGCTGAGGTTAAACCATGACACTTGTAATTCGCAGAGATCAGTTGCTATTGGAAAGAAGAATTGTGTGTAATGGAGGGTTCTTGTATGACTACAAAACATGGTCAAAATAAACAGTCATGATTAATGTCTGGTTATTAATCATTCAATCTTAACTAGATCTACACTTGGACTTTTTTAGTAATCAGTCCATATTCGTGATTACATGATTATATTGTGCTTTACAAGAGTTAGTTCTCATCCATTCTGCGTATTAAATTGCCATTGTACAAGCACATAATTCCTTCTCATAATCGGCACCATTACAATATGTTTCATGTATTTGTCAATTTTTATAGACAAAGGTCACCTTCCTTGAAGGTAAAATATTGAAAGATAAGAATCTTTCAATAAAAGAAAACTGCTGCTTTTCTAGTTTTGATTTGGAATTGGAAGAACTTGAGTCTGCCTTTGTCTAATTCTTTCTTTATTGTTACTAATTCTTTTTCTTTCATAGCTGGAATGTATATGGATTGTTCAGTAATGTCATCTTCTTGTAGGTATTCTGAGCCTAACTGAACTAAGGCTTATCCCTCCAGCAGCAAAGATAACTCTCCAGACACCTCCTGTTGTATCCAAAGCAGCATCTTTCCATGAATTTCACAAGCAGCACAAGAAGTCAGCTGTAGGTGAGTGCAAAGGATTGATAACAGCCATCAAGTGCATCTCCAACTTCACTTTCAGGCCCTTGTTTTATCTCACAAGGAAACAGCTGTCTAATGAGCACTCACTCAAATTCTTAAGAATACTAAGTGCATAAAGATGTACATGAGCATCCTGTGTCTTGCAGCTGAATGGGAATCAGATTTCTTAATCCCTGTGGGGATTTGGTCCCTCTTCATTTTTGAAATCCTGGTAGGTTCCTACCTGCATGTTTCAAATTCTAAGCACCTGAATCTGAAGATCTGACTACTGGTGTTAGTGTAAAGCCAGTGTTACTGTAAGTCATAACTTATCATGACTTACAACAGCTGATCAAGCATCTATTTTGCCAGTGTGATTAAATGAATGACTCCTAGTAAGTGAATATACTCAGGGCAATGGGATTCTGATCTATCACAAAGTGTACTCAAAACTGTTGTTGCTACAGCTGCTTGTGGCATGTGACATCAGTATGGAAAAGAGTGTAAGCAAAATGAGCGGTGGGCTCAGTGGCGATCCCATAAATTTGAAAAGTTCTCCTAATGAAAAGGGGTGGTTGAAAACTAAAATTATGTATGGAACAACCTGGAGTATAAGTGCTAATATTTAGACATTGTTATCCTGGGTGTACTGTTGGCTGGCATATTACAAACTTTGGAACATTATAGATTAAAACTGAAAATTGCAGCCCACTTGGACATGAGAGCAAACTGGAGCATGCCAGTACCTAATGGTAGGTGGTAGAGTATCAATTTGATGCCGTTATTGCACTTCCTCTAACAATGAAACCTGCGATCAATTTTTTTCTTTGGTACAGGAGAGATTAGTAGTAGGGTGGACCCGGAGAATATTGACACCATCACCTTCCCAAACTCAAAGGAAGCAATTTATGGCAAATACTTCTCTAGTAAAGGTAACATTGTACCACTTCCATCCAGCAGTTCCATGGTTTCAGCAAGGAAATCAAAGCCAGCATGGACGTATCCAGCTCAACAGTTGGAATCTGACCTGCAGATTCCCTCTCAAACACAGGTATTTAAACAGTGAGGATAACAAGTATTTTAGTCATGTTTTTAATACTGTATTTACCAGAGATGGTTTAAGAAGTGACTGTAAATCACTGAATTGGTACAGGAGGATTTGAACCAAAGCTAGTAAATA